TACGTAGGTCCATTTGAACTGCCATTCGTTATCTTTCCGTAGTCATGATAAGCCTTTTGCCTACTTTCCCATCTGGTCTCGTAAGACACAACACTGGGCCTTAGTGTATATAAGTTGCGCTACCAACCATAACTCTGCCCACTAAGGTTTATATCCACGACCAGAATGAATCTGTCGAACATTCTAATGCACCTTTGAAGTGAGCACCTGTTGTCTTTTTGTACACGATTGAGACGATTTTTCAAGGGACAGGATTTTGGTCTCCGTCATTGATTCTGTTTTATCATTTACCCTTACTTTTCGAAAGGGATAGAGCGAACTGACTGTCGGCAGTCACCAAAGACACCTGTCTTTGTCTAAAACGTTTGTATTACTCACTCCCCCTTAGGAATAACTTTCCTTTCATTGAAATATGTTTTATCGCAAAATATGTTCGGGTGGTTAACCTGTCTGACGTCTAAATCTGAAGTTTTCTTTCAGGGAGAGAGAAGAGGGAACTTATGGCATAGAAATTATCGATCGTGCTTTCTGGAAATTGACTCCAATATGCTTTTGGCTCGTACATAATTGTTGCATTCAACCGACATGTGTGTCTGTTTTTCGGGTGCAGGATTTTATTCATTATTTCTACCCGTTAAAATCGTTATCCAATCTGACCCATACGAGCTTATACGCTAGGTGTTGAATTAGATTTGAATTAAGGTTGCTTTGCACGTACCTATTACTTCCGTATCTTAACGTGATATCCTTGATCCGTATTTTCAAGGTTCCAGATGGAACGCTTTATTTTGTTCCCAGCTTAACCTTTTTGAACCTTCTATATGCCGACTAATTGCTGCATCGGTTGACGTTAGATTTTACTAATCCTTTCGGCTACAAATTATTGCCTCATACGCAAGTCTAACCATCCTGCCCATTTCTTTCCTCTCATGCAGTGCTGTATTCAGTGTCTTGAGCACCAGTTCGACACTGTGGCTGCCGACCGTTCGCTGGTTCTGCAACGAATGCATCAACTGAGTTGCGCTCTCTCTAACAGACAGATATTCTCTTGGGATTTCTTCATTGACCGCTTCGGAATTCTATCCATCGAGGCGCAAATAAGTGAACGATCCAAACCTGATATTGACTCTGGTACACACGCATCTCTCTACTTTGCGATTTAAAAATTGTTTCTATCTGTAGAAATCGGTCTGCAGGCAACTCCTATCGTCTCGTGTATGATATATTATCACTTGTTTCTTTTTCTTAGTGAATGACCTGAACAATATGAATAAACGAGGTGATGCCTTCCAGCAGCAATTTAATCGTGCCGTCTTCGCCATGGCAGGGACAGACTGTCTACCTTCGATATCTGGTGTTCGTGGTACTGCAGCTAGATGCACGAAAACGACCGATTCAGGTGAGAGGCCAGGAGCCCAGGGGTTGCACGACAAGGCTTTCAGAGGTGGACATGCAACTGCCACAGATGGAAAACACTCCGCAGTTAGCACGGGTACACTCCCATTCTAGATTTTTCGACCCTTGTTGTGGCAAACTTATCTGTGGTAATATTAACGTTGCATTGTACACAATGTGTACTATTAAACCACTTATAACGCCGTTAACTTGGGACCTCAAAGGCCAATTTGCCACCTAGATGGTCCATTTAAATCAGGCCAAAGCAGTGAATAACATACCCTGTTGACTGGCAACTGAAAAACCTTTACTCTTAGACCTAATAATGTACTAGTATTGACTTAAACCCGAAGTCTACTCTATACTGTTTGAGTATTTCGGATATGAGCTCTTTGGTATGTTTTGCGCAAGAATGTGTACCTACTTTGGCTGTGGAAAGTCAGTGAACAGTCACTGCCATGGTACGCCAACCCTGACATTGAGCAATCCAATCCTTTTTTGTGGTCCGCAGAGTTTGGATAAGGGTACGACTTTATAAATAACGAGTTTGGAGTGGGTCCCTTCTTGAAGCGCTTGCTGGTTTTGAAGTCTTTAATGAGCGTCGCGAGAAGATCTATTTACGAATGTGAATTTATTGTTAGATGCAGATAGAAGCCTCGGTATTGCTTACCCGGTTTGTGCTCTGTTATACTTAAGCTACCCCCCAAAATTATCCTTGGTGACATCGCAAACTCCAAGAATTTTGGTACGCAGGGGCAAAATTTGGAGTCATTAGTAGGTTAGGAAAATATCTATCTAAATCGTCAATTTCTGACATAACTATACATGCAGCGGGGTGGGATTCAGAAAGCTATGCATTGCTCACTTTCCTGCTGGAGCAGATTTCCGCCGAAGATACAGTAGAATGTTCGACGGCTCAATAGATCTTTCGAGTTCCGCAATTTTGTGAATCTCGATTTATACAGTTGCTACTATGGGACCATTGAGATCCGTTGATTGAAGGCCACGGTGAAGAATTAGACAGACTACGTTGGACGAGAGCATCATATTCTCTCCGTGGGTAAGGCTCAGTAGTCCTTGGACAGTACTGTCTTCCAACGCCTTCGTCTTTCTCATTTTCCAGCCACTCACTATCGGTACCATATCCATAGGTATTATTCTTTTAAATAATTTTCCGACAACAAATATGTTTTCTCTTTAAAGGTTGCCTGGGATATTTCTAGGTAAAAGGCAAAAAGCCGATATTATTTCATTTTTAAACACTAAAGATTTAAGCAGGAGGCTTTCCTTGCGCAATTAATGCGGATAACTGATCTGCTGATTATCGAACCAAGCAATTAGCGTGGCCCTTCCTGTTTCATCAAGAACGTACATATTGTCTTCACCCTTACAAGATTTTAATTAGTACAGCTAAATAACCGATGAAATTTATTGTGCACAATGAAAATAGCCAGATTCTTGCGTTCAACCGGGAAGTCATGTTGAGGGCATATTCATTGCACTCAGCGCTCTTCCGAATAACAAAGTCATGTCTCACACACTTTCGGATGTTTATATTTCAAAAACATCCTGCAGCATGCTTGCTGTCGAAGGTGAGAAAATGTTGCCAAACACCTCATTATTGTTCCCTAAAATGCACGTCTTTTTCTCCTGCTTTTCAGACGACAGCCCTTCACGAGCGTCACCGGCTGAAATGAGAAGGTCCCGTCCATCGGTTATCAAGTTAACTGGTTTCTTTCCAGGTAATCTGAACTTACTTCAACATTTCTATCACACAGTAAAGTATTCTAAGAAGACCTTAACGTAAGGATTACATTTACTAAAACCCTAGCCGTAAAATTAACCCTA